CACATGCACACATACCACACCACACATATGCATACACATACACACACACACACCACATGGACATTGCATTATACCACACACACCACTTACACACACATCAACACAGGCGCACAACACACACACATATACACCACAGATACCACACACGCACACACCACACACACACCACATACACTCCACAGATACCACACCACACACACATCACACACACACATACCACATACACACCACACCACACACCACATACACACATCACCCACAGGCACACCACACACACACACACATACACATACACATACACATACACATACACATACACATACACATACCCACACCACAAACACCCCATACACACCACACACACAGCACCCACACGGCACACACAGAGGCTATTTTCCTCCACGGTCCTCGCTCCGTTCACATGACTTGGAACCATTTAGGCTGGAGCTCCCTGAGGTCAGGGCCCGTGTTTCCTGCCTTTCTGTCTCGGCATGTGGCGAGGCCTTGGTGCAGACCTCAGTGCTCATCTGAGGAGGAAATGGGAGGAAGGGAGACACTTAGTTTAGGAGGGATGGCCCCACTTCCTTTGGGACCCAGCAGATGGGCTGCTTGTGGGTGCTCAGCCCAGCCCACTAGGATTTCTGGACAGAGTGAAGTGAGCATGAGAAAGCGAAGGCATGAGGCACACGAGACAGTCATCTGTTGGAGCACCTGCTGCCCAAGGAGTTGACCCCTCTCCTCTCCTCCTGTGTGGCCCAGTTGGTCCTGAGGTGGTGATGGGGGAGGATTCTTGTTCCTAACAGGCTCCTCCCAAGACCAACATAGTTGTCCCTTTACCCACCACCTTCCAGCACCCCTCACTCAGATCCAGCAGACCTTCCACGAGGCCTTTGTGCCCAATACACTGGCCTCCCCATGTCCACCTCTCATCCATCTCCTGCCGTGGGCACCACTGTCCCCTGGCTAATGTCTCCCTGAAGATCTCTGATCATAGGGCCCAAGTAGTGGACACCCTTAATGACAGTATCCAAGGGTGGCCCCTGGGGACCAGAGACATTGACTAAGGCCCAGGACTAAGGTGGGTCAGCTGTCTTCTAAGCACAGGACCATCCCAGGAGCTAATCACACCTGGGAGTCCACACCTGCTAGTTTCAAAAGGAAATTGTATAGAGCCAGTTGTTGGCTCAGGCGGACCCTAAAGTGTGGCCAGGCACAGCCTGGAGTCAGATGACCTGGGCTCCAGTCCTAGTCAGCCCACTTCCAGCTTAGCAACTTGGGCCAGTGGTTCACATCTGGAAACCTCGGTTGTCTCATGCATGTGCTGGGAGCTCCCTGGCAGGGTGGGTGAGGGCGGTCCAAGCACTGGGCTGCACACACCAGCACAACAGGGCGGGGCCCATCTCCCTCCATTCCCTTCCCTCCACCTTCCCTCATCATACTCCATCCACCCGCCCACCAGATTCGAGGTGGCATCATACCCCATCCACCCGCCCACCAAATTCGAGGGGGAGAAACCCCCAGAGAGGCAGCTGAGAATCCAGGAGGTGTTCGTCGTGGGCCTAACTCAAAACCTTGCTCCCCTAACTCAAAACCAGGCTGAAGGCGTGAAGGCTGAGCCCTTTGAAAACCACTCGGCCCTAGAGATTGCGGAGCAGCTGACCCTGCTAGACCACCTCGTCTTCAAGAAGATTCCTTATGAGTAAGTGTTGCAGGCAGCACTTGCCTCCCCCCGCTTCCTCAGGCACTGTCTTGGACAGCACCCCGGAAGCATATGCAGTGAACTTCCAGAGCTGTGCGGACCCTCCACAGCTTAAAGCAATAGTGCCTGGGTCCGCAGAATGACGGAGAAGCCTGTTTCTGTTCCTGCCCACCAAGTTCTCTCCTTACCTGTCAGCTGCACATACACACTTTTCTGGAGTCATCTCTAACTCAGAGCTCCTAGAAAGACAGTATCTAGAAAAGAGCATGTGTTCATGTGTGTGTGCACACGTACCTGTGAGAAACTGTGCACACAGGTATGAGCATGGGTGCGTGTGTGGGTCCAGTGACCTCCAGGAGCTGATTTAGGGGACAGATGTGGACTTTGAAGAAGCCCCAAGGCCTGCTGTTACCTGCTCTGGCCTCAGTCATCCCTGGTGTTCATTGCAATTATTCTACTTTTATAATTTTGTATCCTTCTTCCTTCCTCTGACGCTATGCCAAAATGGCATTTGTAAACATTATTTTTAATGAGTACACAGCATTCTCTAACAGTGTGTTACTAAGCCACGAGGGTGTTTTCAGTCTCCACTTTTATATTGATCGCTACAGTAAGCATCCTTGTAACAAATAAGTCTCAGTTCCTAACAATGGTCCCAGAATGGTTTCCCAAAATTGAGCTTGCCGGATTTGAATGATTGAGGGGCTTTTGGCCTCAGCTCCACCTGGCACTCTCGCAGCCCTCCCCAGCGTGGGTGCTGCCTCGTGTAAATAGAGAGCGTCGGCACTTTGGAAACCTGTCACATCTCCTGGACATAGAAGCAGCTGATATTCCTGACATGTCCCTGTAGGAGGAGAAGCGGGATATGTTTTCAAACACAGATCACCTCCCCTGGCCCCTTCTGCCCACAGGGCTCTGCCAAGGTCCCCTCTCCCTGTCACTTTATGATGTCAGGAGCCTGTGGCTTGGCTTGCAGGCATTTTAAGCCTTTTATCTGCCCCCTTTTAGGGTCTTCTATTCCCTCATCCTACAGACCAGCTGCTGCAATGCCTAAAATGTGAATTCTCCCTGTCAGAAAACAAGATTCATAACAAATTATTTCCACTGTACCTCACAATAAGGTGTGTGCTTCCCACACCTTATTTCAGCCTCCCAGTAACCCTGTGAGGAAAGGATCGTCTTTATTCCCATTTTACAGATGAGGAAACTGAAGCCCTGCTCTATAAAGGGTTTGTCTGAGGCCACACAGCTGCGACAAGGCAGAGCTGGACTTCAGCCCAGGGTTCCTTCCTTCCAGGGTTCTGCAGAAAGTCATTCCCCCAAAATGACAGCCTCAAAAAGCCAAAAAATTAAAATAAAATAAAAAGCATGGAGCAATGAACTCAGCAAGGCAAACCTCACCTCCTCCACCTGGGTCTCCCCTTACTTCCCACAGGGAGTTCTTCGGACAAGGATGGATGAAACTGGAAAAGAATGAAAGGACCCCTTATATCATGAAAACAACCAAGCACTTCAATGATGTGAGTATGGATGGGAGCGCTTCTCTCGCTGAGGTTTTTCTTTGGCAAGATGCTCAAGAGGCTGGGTAGAGAATGGGCTATACACCTGGCTGGAACCAGACTGCTGGGTCCTCTCCAGCCCTGCCACCCCTTGCCATGTGGCCTTGGGCTGGTTGCCTCACCTCGGTCTCGGTCTCTTTTCCTATTAAGTGGGGCTGACCATAGAATGGTCGTAGGATGATTAACCGGGCAGTCATCTAAAGACATTCAGCCCAGCATTGGCTTGCCACGAGCTCTCACCCAGGACTTGTGATTCCTAAGAGGGGTCACTCCTCGGAGCAGGGTGTTTGGGGAGTCTGCGGCAAAGAGAACAGAAAGGAATGAAGGATTAGAAGGAAAGCAATGAAGACCTTGCTATGCTTCCTATTTTTTAACCTCATCAAATGGCAGACAGCTTCCCTCTAATTCATACATTATCCAGAACCCTCAGAATCTCCTAATGTTTTGGTTGTTTCGGCTACCCTGAAAGTGAACGTCTAATTCTCTTTAATGTTAGGAGGCCACAGTGCTGTGCGAGACTAAGGCTCCTGAATGTCCCCAGCTAGGATCAAGATGATCCAATATCCAGCTCCTCCAGCCCCCTCCTCTAGACCTCCCAGCCCCAGCTTTCCTGGGGAAGAACTGTTGAGATGGGACCAAGCACTGGGCCTGCAAACTGGCCTGGCATAAGCGACTCAAAGTGTCTGGACTGACTGATTAGCACACTAAGTTCAGATGGGTGCATCACACACCCCCAGCTCCCAGAATCCCTTCTCAGAGAAACATGGGAGCGGCAGAGAACTGGGGGCCAGACAGGTCCCAGAGCCTTCTGAGGCTCAATTCATGTCCACAGGGAGCATTTGCAATGTTCTTTAATAAGAATATCCACTGCCCCCTAACCGGGTGCCTACCTCGTGCCTAGCACTGAGCATTTTGTGCATAGTAATCTCATTGAAAGCTCACATCAACTAAAAGATGGGGGCTGTCCTCACATTTTTAGATACAAAGAAACCAAGGCTCTGGAGGGGCAAATGCTGAGGTCTCCTAACTGGTGCATGGTGGCTCATGACTTTCATTGCTGCACAGTGCAAATCAGCTGTGTGAGAAAAAAAAAAGAAAGAAAAAAATCCCTCCCAGCAACTTCCCCACATTTGCGCAAGTTCCAGCCCCTGAACCACAGAGATGGGTCACTCCCAGCCTGGTAACAGCCCTGAGAACAGTTGCACTCAGCATCCTCATTCTTCTGAGTTTAATCATCAACACGAGGAAAGAGCCTTTGAGGGCCGGTGGTGGGAGCACATGATTCCACTTGCCCTGACCACCTTGGCCAGGGTCACATCCCACCAGCCCCAGCCCCCAGCACACCATATCCTGGGAGGATCCTCAGCAGCCTGGAAGAAACAAGAAAGACCCAGGGATTGCAGCTCAGGGGAGGAGCCCTCTGGGGCCTCCTAGGCCCGGGCACCCAGTGGCTCCTGCAGTAAGCACAGCAGCAGAAAGGAGACTTGTGTGCCTCTCAGGAGAGAAAAAGGGACAGAGACCAAGCCTCAGGAAACATCCTGACAGAGGCCTGATCTGACCACACCTTACAGCACCAGGCAACAAATCACCGTCCCCTCCCTTCCCCTGTCCCACTGTGTGCCCAGGAGTCAAGCAAGTGAAAGACAAGAATATGAAGTGAGCATTCATTGAGTGTTCAGCGCATGCTAGACGCTGTGCTTCAAAAGCATCATCTCATTTAATCCTGTCATCCCCACTTTGTGGATGAAGAAACTGAGGCTCGAGGAGGGGAAATTTCATCCCCAACATTACACAGCAGGGTACAATTTTGAACGCACACGGTCTACCTGAGAAGCTGCCCTTGTAACGACCTGGCATTTGGCCATCTCTGTTCAAATCCACCATTTGGTTCTGATACACAGGACATGTGCTGGCACAATAGCGATTTACCTCGTCTCTCCCTGGCACAGTTCTGTTTGCTGTTTTCTGGTGCTTTTGCTTTTAATGTCTTTGTCCTCTTAGCTGGTACTGGCCAGGATCTTCAGGACCATGGCCAAGCTGGGGTACTGGGGTAAGACAAGCAAGGTCCCCAGAGAGCAAAATCTAAGGAGCTACTTACCCTTCTGCACTTGTACCCCATACCTCACCTGCTTCACCCTAGTCCCGTCTCTCTCCAGGACAGCGTGGAATGGACATGGTGATCATGTGTCTCCTTCTTGGGTTTTTTGTGGGGTTTTTTGGGGGTTTTTTTTGTTTGTTTTTTTTGGGGGGTTTTTTTGACAGAGTCTCACTCTGCTGCCCAGGCTGGAGTGCAGTGGTATAATCTCGGCTCACTGCAACCTCCACCTCCCAGGTTCAAGCGATTATCATGCCTCAGCCTCCCGAGTAGCTGGGATTACAGGTGCACGCCACTGCACCCAGGTAATCTTTGTATTTTTAGTAGAGACAGGGTTTCACCATGTTGCACAGGCTGGTCTTGAACTGACCTCAGGTGATCCACCCACCTCGGCCTCCCAAAGTGCTGAGATTACAGGTGTGAGCCACTGCACTTGGCCACCTTCTTGGTTTTAAAGGAGATGCTTCTAGTATTTCCCAATGTGGAATGATGTTTGTTTCTTTACCAGGTTTTTTTTTTAAATTAGCTTTTGTTCCTTGGGTGCTAATGGATGTAACCATGAACAAATACAGAATTTTATCAAATATTTCTTTCTGCATCCTTGGAGATGGTCATATGGTTTTCCTCCCTTAATCTGTTGATATAGTAAATGACAATTATACTTTTTTTCTAATATTCAGTCATCCTTGCATTCCAGGGATAAACCCAATGTGGTCATGGTATATTAAACAAGAGGGTGTGTAGCTTTCCTTTCTTTTGTTATCCATTTCTGGTCTCAGTATCAAGGTAATACTGGCTTCATAGAATGAACTGGCAGATACTCCTTTTATCCTTCTTCTCTGGAAGATTTGACTGATCTATTTATTTCAAAAATTAGTATAACTTTTATATAAAACTGTTTTTAAGTTCCATGTTCTCTCGATGGGAAAAAATTTAACTACAACTTCAATTTAATTAAGAAATATAATACATGTACTACTGTGCGTTATTATCCTTCCTGATAATAAGTAGTAGTCCTTAAGTAGTAGTTCCATTCTGAAGTAGTTTTACAATTCATTCTCCTTGATGAGCATCCTTTAGAAATTATTTTTGCGGTTTCTTAGCAATAAAGCCCTATAATATTTAATTCATCTGTAAATGTCCTTTTATTGCCTTTTTTTAAAGTAGTAGTCTTTTTTTAAATTTTTTATTTTAAAATAATTAAACAGTCACAAAGGACGGGTGCAGTGGCTCACACCTGTAATCCCAACACTTTGGGAGGCCGAGGCGGGCAGATCACTTGAGGTCAGGAGTTCGAAACCAGACTGGCCAACATAGTAAAACCCCATCTCTACTAAAAACACAAAAATTAGTCAGGCATGGTGGTGTGTGCCTGTAATCCCAGCTACTTGGGAGGTTGTGGTAGGAGAGTCGCTTGAACCCAGGAAGCAGAGGTTGAAGTGAGCCGAGATGACACCACTGCACTCAACCTGGGCGACAGAACAAGACTCTGTCTCAAAAAACAAAACAAAACAAAAAAAGTCTTAGGAAGTGACAAAAGAATGTACCAGAAAGCCCACTGCTTCCTGCTGTTCCAGCTTCTTGTAATTCTAATTACCTGATGTTCTAGCCCCAGCTTCCCACCCCTGCCCCCAGCTGCTCCAGGTCCAACCTGCCCTTGATTGGTTCATGTGCATGTCATGTTTGGAGATGGAGTCCTAGAAGATATCTTCTACTGTGTATGTGAGACCAGCAGTGCTTCAAAGTGTGTCCTGTCCAAGCTCTAGTTGTGTGATGGGGGATTCCCTCAGAATTTGGCCCCTTTTAACTATTTGTTCTTCCAGATGAACTTTAGAATTACTTTGTCTGTAATTACTTTTCTAGAGAAAGCTCTCGTTGGTATTTGGTTTTTTGTTTGTTTTCAGGGTTTTTGTTTTGTTTTGTTTTTTGGTTTTTTTTTTCTTTTTGAGATGGAGTCTCGCTCTGTCACCCAGGCTGGAGTGCAGTGGCGCGATCTCAGCTCACTAAAACATCCACCTCCTGGGTTCGAGTAATTCTCCTGCCCCAGCTTTTTGAGTAGCTGGAATTATAGACATGCACCATCACACCCATCTAATTTGTGTGTGTGTATGTGTGTGTGTGTGTGTTTTGTAGAGACAGGGTCTCACCATGTTTGTCAGGCTGGTCTCGATCTCCTAACCTCAAATGATTCGCCCGCCTCGGCCTCCCAAAGTGCTGGGATTACAGGTGTGAGCCACTGTACCAGGCCTGAGTGTTTTATTGGATTACATTAAACACATGTATCAGCTTTCAGAAAAATGACATATTTACATTCCCATTTGGGAATTTGATCTCTTTCTCTGTTATTCAAGCCTTTTATATCCTTTGGTGACCTGTTTTTTCCATCCTACATAGTTCTCATTAAGTTCCTAGGTATTTACAAATTCCCATTGTTATTTGGAAGGTTGTATTTTTGTTGTATTTTCTAATTGATTATTGCTAATGTATATATAAACTTTTCATTTTTCTATATTGAACCTTTAGCCAGCAACCCTAGCAAGCTCTGTTCATTGTTCTCACAGTTGTCCAATTCCTTCTTGTATTTTCAAACAGGCAATTATATCTGCAAATAGTGATTATTTCTCATCTTTGCAATACTTACTCCTCTTTTTCCCTGTCTTATTGCATTGGCTTAAAGATCAGTAACTTGATTGCTTCAGAAATCATCCGCAATGAGGACATCAATGCCAGGGTGAGCGCCATCGAGAAGTGGGTGGCCGTGGCTGACATCTGCCGCTGCCTCCACAACTACAATGCTGTGCTGGAGATCACCTCATCCATGAACCGCAGTGCAATCTTCCGGCTCAAAAAGACATGGCTCAAAGTCTCTAAGCAGGTGCGGGCAGGAGGCTGGCACCACTGCCTCCCTGGGGCTGGATTGGGGATGGGGCAGGAAGACCAGTGGGCTGGCCACTGGGCATCTACAAGTGGGCAAAGGACTGGGCTGAGGTCTAACACTCCCAGGTAAAACAGAGAATCACTTCCCGTATATCACCTGGGACCAGATAGCAGGCCCACAGATGTGGCAGTGAGACTGTGGGACTGTAATTCCCACCTGAGTAATTAAAACCTCAAAGTGGAAAGAATATGTTGGTGATTATTGGTCCCAACACTTTTCTTCTGGAGTTGGGGCGAGAGTGGTGGCTTTATGGGGATCTGCAGGGCAGCTGAGACTGTGGTCAGGTGAGCCTTCCATCAGAGGACCCTTCCGTCAGATGATCCTGCAAGCCCTTCCCAGGATTCTGATTTCACCTGCCCTTCTGGCCACAGAGAATTAGCTGCTCCCTGGAGCCTGTCAGCTAGTTGATCACCTTAAATGTGGGCTCGATCCCTCTTCACTCAGAACATGAATCTGAAAAGTCATAAACATAAAACATGAACATAAAACCATAAGATAGATTCTTCCTCAGGAATAAAGTTGCAGGCATTGGGGTCAGGAGGGACCAGTGCTCCTTATAGGAGAGCACAATGAGGCACTTGGACCACTTCCTTAGTGCACTTGGTGGATGCCCCCACCCCAGCCTGCATGTGTGCAGGAGGCCGGACAAGCACCCCCTGTAGACCAGGCAAGCCTCCAAGCACGATCCCTTGGCAGCAGTGTCTGTCATCCTACCGCTGGGTGGGCTGTGTGGGATCCAGTGGCTCCAAGGGCCCTGTCTCATCTGGGCCACTCTGGACTTGCATACTGTGTCACCCTCATTGTTCTCTTTATCACCTGCTCCTCACTACCCTCCTCATGTCAATGGCAGGTCTTGATTCCACCCACCAAGCAGGCGGCATGTCCATAATCCTCCCTACTTAGCAGCCAAACTCAGGAAAGTCTTGGGACATCTCTGCTACCCTTCCCCCACCTTCTGGTCACTCCAGCCCCTGATGACAGCAGGACTACAGAACATGCAGGGACACCCCATTACAATCCAGTGGGATTGGGCCTTTTGCTTCTTGGCACACAGAGATGCCAGGCTTGGGGTCAAGGACCGTAAAAGATGCTACTCTTGTTTGCGGGCTCCAGGAAAGAGCAGAGCTCAGGAGCACAGGAGCTCAGAGCTGCAGGCACATCCAGCCAAACATGGTACATACTGTCATGAACTCCTAGAGGCAGGTGTTGAGCAAGGCTCTGCAGAACCTCCAAGTCACCCAACCTCATTTGGCTTGTCAAGGTTCAGGCAGGGCCCTTGCCACAATCTGGGGGCCCATTCCAGGTAAATCTCTCTCTCCTTCGCCCCTGTACTATGGGAATGACATCATCTTTTCCAGAGGCCCTGGAGACCAGGCTTCAGTTTCCCACCCCACTTAGGCTTCCTGGAACCCACACTCCTTGCATTTCTTGGTCTCGATCTCCAGCATCACCTTCCTCATGGATTTGGGAGGGAATGAGCTTGGCCATCCTGAAATCTTCTGTTCTCTGCAGAGAGTGCAAATCAAGGACACTCGGTGGTCAGGGCATGTGATTCAGCCTGTGTTCTAGGATGTCTTTCTGGACTTAGGGTCAGCTGGCCTGGTTCAAAAATCAAAAGTGCCTTTGGCACCGCATGAGGTCTCCACCCTCTATGGCAGTCTGGACCCAGCTGTCTTCTGCAGCCCCCAGCCATGTAAGAGTTGTGTGTCTGCACAGTACCTGGACCCAGGAGCTTCTGGGAGTTCCTGGTCATGGCCTGCTCAGCATCTGCCAGGGGCAGTTCATTATCTCTCTACAGGCGTCCCATGGACATTGGAGACCCTCTGAAATGGCCACGCTTCTTAGATGGCCTGAACTGTAACCTCAGCAGCCAGTTCTTATTGCTCGCTTAAATGTGCTCACCATAGCAGAAAAGCATTATGTCCAAGTCTGGTTCAGCCCCTGGCAAGAGTCAGGCAGCTGGGTTTCATTTGGGACTTTTCATTTCCCCTTTCTTCTTTTAACCCCTCTCCCCATCCTCTTTGAAAAAACAAACAAACAAACAAAAAAAAACAAACCTCAAGACAGGATCTGATGATGATGCTCTTCCATAGGACAGTACAATGACTAACATGGATTTGTGTGTCGCCTCTCCTGGAGACAAAAGCCTCGCCTTGGCTAACAATAGATTTTGGCCTCTCTGGGAGGGAACATTCTTGGCCAGCCAGAAGTCCTCCACTTGGTGAACAGGAAGTGATGGAATTTTGGAGACCACAAAATCATCCTTCTTCCTGACATTGACTCCAAGGCTCCTTGCTTGGTCCCTGCTCTCAATCACATATTCCAAGGGCCCCTCATTTCTGCCTGCTGGTGTCCACACTCTAACAGAGACACCCAAGATCCCAGAGGCTTGGTATCCCATGGAGCATCAAAGGATAGAAGCTCCTGGCCCAGCTAGAAGATAGATACTTGAACTGCTTCAACTTGGAACGTACTTTTTAAGCAGCAGCTGAGAAAATTCTGTGGCTTCCCAGGCCATAGAGCTCCTTCCTGGAGAGAGCATGACAACCCAAAGAGGAGCAGCCATACACAGCAAGCATGGGGATGTGGAGGAAGTTAAAAATGTGACCAGTTCAGAGCCACAAATTGGTCCCGGAATATCTTCTGCACATTTTCACGGCCTCAGAGCACGGTGACACTTCATCTAGAGCTACATGGCCACCGGGACCTCCTGATCAAGCTTCTGTGTCTCCCACAATTCTAGAATATCTGAGCTAGTATTGCCCTAGGGAATACCTGGATTTACCCTCCCATTTTCCATATGGGGACCCTGAGGGCCAGACAGGCAAGAGGAGTGGTGATTTGCCAGTCGGCATGCCAAGGGTAGGTGACAGAGGCTAGGGAGGCCCTAGGTTTCCTGACTCAGCCCCCGCCTCTGACCTCAAGCCATATCAGGTCATTCCTCTGCAGGTGGATGGAGAGGAAGAGGAAGGAGGGTGCAGCTCTGGAAAGGGGCAAGTGCAGGAGGGAAGGTGAGATCTAGAACAGAGGTGGGCCAGGGCATCCAGCCTTCGCCAGTCATTGGAGAGCAGACATCTCAAGTGAAAGCAGAATCATCTGCCTTGACTCTGTGTGCTGTGTGCTATTCTGTTGCGTGTCAGATCCGGAACACAGTTGTGCTCTGAACAGGATTAGTCCACACCAGGTGGCTAGGCTTTTTCTGCTCGTTGATAAGGCACGGAACTGAATGGTACGTTCAGCCCTTCTTTCCCCTTGAAGAGCACACACAGATCTCCTCCTGTCAGAATGGAGACTTAGATTGTCCTTTTCAGTAGACAAGTTTCTCAGCAGAAATCTGACCCCAAGATTGGGCGTGTGCTTGGCCTCCAGGGCCTGTCTCCCCTTCAGGCTGACTAGGGCTCTGGTGGCGTGACGTACCGCTGTGCTCCGGTGGTTTCTCAGCCACATTCTGAATCTTGAGGAACAGAGCTGCAAAGGAAGTCTCTAACCTATCTCACCATTTTATCAATGAGGGAGCTGAGGACCCCTGAGGGAAAGGACCTTCCCTCAGGCTCCACAGCGCACAAAGCCAGGCTTGACCCAGGGCGCTCCGTGGGTCAGACAGACTCCAGCCACTGAAACTCGGCTGCAGCCTGATGTGTGTGCTGGGCCTGGTGGGGTCGCTTGGCAAAGCCCTTTGCTCTGGGGCTTCCTCTCTCCAGCCAGGCCTTTTCTTTTCTGATGATCAGTTCGTCTCCCATCTTTTTTCTTGATCCTTAAATTTGGGTGGTGTTTCTGATGTGAAAAAGGGAACATGTGAGATGAGGGTCACATCCTTTGAGTGTAGTTCATGAGAAAGATCAGGAAAATCAAAAATCTGCCATTTCCTGCTCTCAGCGTAGGCTCCTGGAAGTCACCCAGCAAGTCCTAAATTGCCCAGGTGTCGGGCTCCTGCAACATTTCCCAGGGCCAAATCCACACTCAGGTCCCTCACATCCACTTCCTTGCTTCTGAGAGATGTGTGAGCACAGGCACACTCAACAAGGACCCATGCCCAACTCCTGAGGAGTTCAGGAGCAAGGTGCCCAAACACGGGAGGCCCCCAGATCCCAAGGGAATGCAATTCTGGAACCCTGGCGGGCAGCATGCTGGAGTGTGGGCCTGAGGTCCCGGGCCTTGGTGTGTGCTGTGTGTTAGTAAATGCTTCTGATTCCTTCTAGACTAAAGCTTTGATTGATAAGCTCCAAAAGCTTGTGTCATCTGAGGGCAGATTTAAGAATCTCAGAGAAGCTCTGAAAAAGTAAGTGTCTGTCATTTTGTCACTGTTATTTGTAAAATCATAGACCCGCATTGCAGAGGCATTCACGTGCCACCCCCAGCCAGAGCAGGAGGTCTGTCTGTCTGTCTGTTCATCTGTTTACCCACAAGACCCCTACATTTCCTGGACCCCAATGGTGGAGTCCTCCATGGTCTGCCAGAGAAATTCCAGAGTTTGCTGGCATTTCCTGGGAGAAGCGCAGGAATCATGCTGGGATCCCTGAAAGCATAGTAGCTGTGATGATAATAATAGTGGTGCCAGATGTCTCGATTCTAAAATGTACGTTTTCTTTTTACATTTTAATAATTCTGACATCAGGAGATGTCTTAAAGTCAGTGTTGTTTATTTAACATGATTGTGTTTCCTTTTTCACTTGAGAATTCATCATCAAGATATGCTTTCATTTTATAGACAGTGGCATCTTGGAATCAAAAAAATACTGTTTTCCAATAATCATACTTAAAGTTTGTAAAGGACTTGCCTAGACATTGTGTGTTTAACGCCATCAACATTGCCCATAAGGCGGGGTCCTCAGCCTCAGCACCCTTGCTATTTTGACTACAATGATCCTCTGTTGAGGGGGACTGTCTTGTGCACTGTGGAATCTTTAGCAGCATCTCTGGCCCCTACCTGTGAGATGCTAATGGCACCCCCTTCAGTTGTGACGACCAAAACTGTCTCCAGACATTACCAAATGTCCACTAGGGGGCAAAATCCTCCCCCCTTGAGAACCACCAGGATAAGGCTGCTTCCCACATCCTGTTCTTGCAGACAAAGAAACTGAAGAGCTAGTGACTGGTCCAAGGCCATGTGGCCATGGCCTAGCACCAGGACTGGCCCAGGCTGGCCTCCAGGGCTTGGCAAGGTTTGCCCTGGGCTCCAGACAAGCTCTCCCAGGGAAGCACTGATTCAGCCCATCTGCACACACTGTGGCCGCACACTCACACGAAATGGGGGGTTTGCTTCTGTCACTCTCATTAGGTGCTTACTCAGGCTTCTGCACTAGTCTCAACCCTCCTTTCATTGAGTGAGTGTCCGTTCCTCTCCTTGCCTGACTGGCTACTTGCCACACTTTGGAGAGACCCGGCGAGACCCCTGGGGTCCCGGTTCCCTGTATAGCTTAGGAAGCCTCTCCTCCCTTCCTGGTGTTCCCATGATCATGGCTGATGCAGGGACCACCAGAGTTTACTACCCCCAGACCCTGAGGATGGGGCCAGCCAAAACCTCCAGCCCTTCACAGTGGCTTTGACGGACTACTCACCCCCTCTGCCAGCCTCGTCTGCCTCCTCGTTTTCTTCCTGCCATACTTGGTCTGTCCTTCGCCAGCTCTGTGTGCCATCGCCTTGACCATCTCCACTTTATTTGTGTTCTCAGACAGATGTTGCACCCATCTGTGCTGTCCGGCCGTCTCTCTTCTGCCTGGGCTCCCCAGAGCCCCTGTGGACTGTGCTTGTGGGGAGCTGCCCCTCCGTGCATTCACCAACTTGTCCGTCCGCCCCCGGGGCACCACTCCATCCACCTCCTCACATGGCTGGCTTCCTGGTCTGCTGCCGCCACCACTGCTGCCTCCACTGCCTCTGGGGCCCCCCTTTCTGTCTGAGTCCCCATCCTGACCGTCTTCCCTCTTTCAGGTGGCCTGCGGGCCCGTGTAAGTGTCTCTCCCACATTCTCCTAGTCCCTGCAGCACAGGGCAGAGGTGGCCTGCGGGCCTCTGGGAGCTAAGAGCTTTATGCAAACCAGGTTCTGGACTTACAGAGACATAGGCAAAGCACGCAGAGGAGGGAGGGACTGGGGAAACCTGGGGAAAATGCTTCCCGCACCCCCTCTCCTGAGGCTCTAAGGTTTTCACAAAGAGCGATGTTGCATGAATACTGAGCGTCTGTTTCACTAGGCGGGGGACGGGGGCAAGAGTAGCAAGGTGGTAGTCCATGGGCATAGCCAATGACCTCCCCAGACAAGCAGCCATGCTATGGGCCTCACCATGTTGGTCTGCAGCCCATTCATATGTCCCAGGCATCTTTTTCAGCTTTTCATTAAAATATCCAATATCAGGCTAGGCACAGTGGCTCACGCCTGTAATCCCAGCACTTTAGGAGGCTGAGGCGGGCAGATCACTTAAGGTCAGGAGCTAGAAACCAACCTGGTCAACATGGCAAAACGCTGTCTCTACTAAAAATACAAAAACTAGCCAGGCGTGGTGGTGCATGCCTATAATCCCAGCTACTTGGGAGGCTGAGGCAGAGAATCGCTTGAGCCCGGAAGGCATAAGTTGCAGTGAGCCGAGATCGCACCACTGCACTCCAGCCTGGGTGACACAGCAAGACTCTGTCTCAAAAAGAAAGAAAAAGGAAAAAAGAAAAAATACCCAATTTCTACCAGCATCCAGGCTGGAAAATGGCCTTATTGCCTTTCCCAGCCAAGACTTCACCACCAAACCCTAAATCAACACCCCGCCAGCCATTCTCTTAAATGTCCCTTGCCCCACCTACAACAGCCCTAACTGTGTGTGCCCCTTCAGTCCCTGCCGGGTGCCCTGAGAGTGGCCTCATCTCCCCTTTTCATTCCCCAAGCCTACATCCTGGCGAAGTCCCATGACTGTTCCCTCCTCCCAACCTCCCAGCAATCAGAACCTTTCCACAGCTCCAGGCAACAAGAATTTGGTTGAGAACTGAATTTAGCAGTAAAATGTGGTCACCAGCTCTTTTGGGGCCGATTCCAGTTTTGACTACCCTGTCTAATCTCAACCGAGCACACACTTTCATATCTGCACATTTTGTGTTTAATTTGAATAGGAAGTCCTTGAGTTAGAGGAACATGTGGGACACACTGTTACTGTAGGCTGCTGCAGTGAAAGCTTTTCCCCTTTGTTCCCCTGAATTAAGGATGGGAACAGCCATGGAGGAGTGTGTCAGCTAGCTGACTGCCAGGCCATCCCCTATACCCTTTAATCAGGGTGAGAATCAATTTATCTATATGGATATGATGAGCCCAAAGGCTGAGCTCTAGAATTTCAGGGGTTCCAGCAAAGCCAAATATCTATCTCTATCTTTATTTTCTGCCTGTGACCACAGAGCAGAGTAGCAACCCAGTGGTAAAATGGGACTTTCCACCCCCACCCCATCACAGTGTTTTTTTCAAAGACTACCTACCTAATCACCCTGTACCTTGTGCCAGAACCTTGGACCCTGGCCCCAGGGGATTCAGCCCACACAGCCCAACCTCAAGGGCCCTCACGCCCTCCCTGAATGCCCATCCCAGGCCTCAAGATAGAAGAGAAGAGATCCCCAACTACAGTCGGCAGAAACTTGTAAGAGAGAGTGGCCCATCCCACAGCCAGGGCAGTACAGGGAAGAGAAAAGTCGGAGAGAAGGAGGAAGGAGAGATGGACTCAGTGCTTGTCACGGGTCGGTTTCCTGGAGTTTGGTGTAGAGCGTGGGCAGCTGCCTCATGCCAGCAGTAGCTTGTCCCCCATAATTTCCCTTATTCCATTTAACATCATCAGGAGCGTCTTGGTGGAAAGAAACATCCAGTTTGGGGGCTCCAAACAACCACAGGCAAGGTCAGGTGTCACCATGCATGGGAGTGCCACAACAAGGCCTTGCCCAGAAACCAGAAACAGCTTTCAGGCTAGGGGTGGGACACTTTCCTCTCTGCTCCCTAAAATGCTAGCTGCAGACCTGTGAGGGCTCTGCCAGCAGAGGAAGCCACCCCTGTAGCAGCTCTGCTCAATAGGCAAGAGCTGGACCTCACCCGAGAGAGGCCAAAAGGCCCATATGGAAGGTTCAGGACTGGCCTGTTGTTGGGTATCTTGCCTACAGGAAGCCCCAACATGCTTCCCTGTTCATTCAGAGGCTCGGTGTGGCTCAGTCCCCATGCCATGTCTCCCTGCGGGGCCCTCCAGCAGTCCTCTGTCCCACTCTGGCAACTCCATACATTTGTCCACACGGCTGTGAATTTCAGATGGGGGTGGGTGTGTGTGTGTGTGATTCAGTGTGCTCTCATCCCCTCTTTCATGGCCCCCCACTACAGAGCAAGCCTGTCCAACCTGTGGCCCAAGGGCCGCATGTGGCCCAGGATGGTTTTAAATGCAGCCCAACACAAATTGGTAAACTTCCTTAAAACATTAAGAGATTTTTTTGTGATTTTTTTTTTTTCAGCTCATTAGCTATCGTTAGTGTGTTAGTGTATTTTATATGTGGCCCAAGACAATTCTTCCAGTGTGGCCCAGGGAAGCGAAAAGATTGGACATCCCTGCCATAGAGGTAGTAAATAGGGACAGAGGTTAGTACTGGGGCTGGGCATGCTACTTGCAAGTGATTCGATTGCAAATCCACCACCTTCCCACAACTGGACCATGACTCCCCATAAGTACCAGGGGCAGTCGACCCTCAGTGATCAGAGGACCTCGGATCCTTTTCACTGGTCTGGGTGTTCAGAAACCCCCAAAAGCCTTGAGAAACACTCTGAGTCCTTTGATCATTTGCAGTCAGCTCGCAGTCACCAGGCCTCCCGTTCTCCCTTCTATCCTTAGAGCACTGCATGGCTACCTGGCTACTGTCACACGTGCAGGTGGCAGGGTGAAGGGGGAGAGCACCTCTCAGAACCCACTAGTCTACACTGCCACAGCCTTACAACCCCAGAGTTACTTCTCAGATCTTTGGATTATTTCTCCATCAGACTCATAATCCTGGGCTTCAGACTTGGAGAATGATGGAAAGGAAATGAAGAGCTGGCTGGGCACAGTGGCTCACATCTGTAATCTGAGCACTTTGGGAGGCTGAGGCGGGCAGATCACTTGAGCTCAGGAGTTCCAGACCAGCCTGGCAACATGGCAAAACCCTGTCCCTACCAAAAATACAAAAATTAGCTGGGTATGGTGGTGCGTGCATGTAGTCCAGCTACTTAGGAGGCTGAGGCAGGAGTACCATTGGAGCCCAAGAAGTCAAGGCAGCAGTGAGCTGTGATTGCGCCACTGCACTCTGGTCTAGGTAACAGTGAGACTCTGACAAAAAAAAAAAAAAAAAAGAAAGGAAATGAAGACCTGAGCATGTAATAATCATGGGCTAGAAGGAATGGAAGGATGCAGAGCAGCCCCTCCAGTGGCTGGATGATCCTTACTCTTTTTTAATCACAAACCACAGTAAATATATATATTTGAAATTACAAGTCTATATACAAATGCATATATGCATTACAGGAGAAAAAAATCCACAAAACAATATATACCTTTATTCCATTTGATGAAGTCAGATATTTTCTTTTTCACTTGTTTTTTTTATTTGTTTTCAATTAAATAGAGATGGGGTCTCACTATGTTGCTTAGGCTGGTCTTGAACTCTTGGATGCAAGTGATCCTCCCACCTCAACCTCTCAAATCCCACTCCCTGGGATTACAGGAGTGAGCCACCACACCCGGCCCTTTTTCACTTTTTAAAAATTCTAGTCTACACCCTCTAAATTGATTTCAACACCCATGACAGGGTCAGCCCTACATTTGGAAAAACACTTTTGCCTGCTGTGTCCCTAACGCCAGGCATCTGCCTCCTTCACGACTTCGCCATACTGTGCCAACTGTACTTGTGTTTACCTAACAGCCTCTTTACATTAATTCACTTTTTCCCAAAAATATATAAGCAGGAAATTTTTATATCATGACAAATGGAAAACCAGCATACTTGCTGTAAATACGAGAATGCCATTAAAAAATATATGGTAAAAACAAAATAATGTTATTGAATTCTGGCCAAATACTGATGCTTGCCAACACTCTGATTCTGACACCTGTCGCTATTTGTTTAAAAAGATAAAATGTGAAAGGAGAATGGCAAGTGTCAAAAGTGTCAAAGTCACACTATCACCAAATGAGGCACTCTCCCTGAGCAGAAGGGGGAAAAGTAAAAATCCAATGTTTCTTACCATGTGAATTCATGTTATTTAATATTGTGCCTGTAAGTCACCTAAAATCAGCTGTCAGACCACCTAAAATTGTCTTAGCTGGCATCATTGCTTTATACATGAGGAGCCTGAGGACCAGAGAGGGAAAGGCCTGGCACGGGGTCACACAGTAGGCAGGTGAGGGACAAGGACCAGGTTTCTACTGTTGCTCTATCATCCTCCCGGCCTCCCCTTCCTCCAGGTTAGCAGGGTTGCCAGGTGGCCATAAGGAGACAAAGGTGAGATGGACTGGGAATGAGGGTCACTGCACTGTGCTTGATGATGTCACCACATCTGTGTGCTGAGCTGAGAGGAGGTGGCAGAGCACTGGGGAGGAGGCCCCAGAAGGAGCTAAAGGGAGCCCTGCCGGCACATAACAGCTGCCAGGCTCCATCACAGCCTCCATCAACCCTTACCCAGCATCCAGCCAGGGGCACCAGAACATGCTGGGAAGGAGCAGTAACAGGAGCCCCTGCTTTGGACCAAAAATCAGAGAGGCATGGCCCATCACTCCAGGGGCCCCGCTCCCAAAGATGCAGTCCCCCAAGAGTCACCAACTATGGAAACTATCACCCAACCTCCTGCCCCGAAGCTACGATCACTTTCAGGAAAGTGACCTCAGAGAGCAAGGGTTCCCTGCCCTGGCACCCAAGCCCAGTGCTTAGGTGGGCGGGAGATGCCAGTGGAGACAGAGGTCTCAGGGAGCAGAGACAAGGGAGTCAGATAGGGTACTGGCAGGAGTGGGGTGGCTGGGGCTGCAGAGCCCTTCGGGAGGTGATTCAGGGGGCAGATCTGGATGGGAGAGGCTCAAGGAGAGATAGGAAAGGTGAGTCTAGAGGGGCTGGTGACAGAGCCCAAGGACTGACTGGGACAGAAGGCAGAGAGGTAGGGGAGGACCTTCTGGCTCGGGAAGGAAAGAGACAATTTGAGATGCCCCAGTGGGTATAAGAGGCCCCAGTCAGTACCATGTCGCCCTCACCACCCCAGAGGACTGGCCCTGAGACCCAGCTGACAGTCCTAGGCTTGTAGAATAGTCAGTCCTAGAGTATAGTGTGATTCTTGGTGACTGCAAGTCCCTTTGCCTCTAGCAAAGCAAAAGGTGCATGCGGGATGTTCTGTTCTTGGTAGACGTTACCTTTTTTTAAATGAAAAACTTTTGTTAATTCCGTTTGCTTCCAAGTTGTGACCCACCCTGTGTCCCTTACCTGGGGATGTACCTCACCGACCTGGCCTTCATCGAGGAGGGGACGCCCAATTACACGGAAGACGGCCTGGTCAACTTCTCCAAGATGAGGATGGTGCGTTCCCCCCAGCCAGGCAGGGGAAGGGGGGTGTCGAAGCCCAGATGACTCAACGTGGGGCCCACCCACACTCTGCCCTCCAAGGCTCAACCCGCTGCATAGGGTGCCACCATTTGGGAGCCTGGATCCAGCTTCCCAATGAGAGCCATCACTATCATTGATGAGCAGTTAGAATCTGGCAGGCCCTGAACCATGCTTTCACAGGCATTTCCTCCTCTAGTCCTGACAGTCTGAGAGGTAGCTGCTCTTACTCTGCACCATTCAGATGAGCAGACTGAGCCTGGGTGAGGTCAAGTGAGCAGCCCAAGGTCACCCCACAAGTAAAAGGCAGAGCTAGGTCTGGAGCCCAGGTCCAGGTGACTCCAGAGCCCCACACTGTTATTCACACCCATCTGTATTGTTCATATTGACGCTTGATGTGGACAAAGTAAAACCACTTACACAGCACCTCCTAAAAGAATAAGTTTCCAATTTTCCCAGAAAAATCAAGAACCTGGGATAAGGGATGAGGAGACTTCTCCCATCAGAAACAGGATTCTAACCGTCCCCTTCTGCCCTCTCACTTCAACTGGAAAGCCTCTACTTGCACCAGTTTTATATAATGGGCCTCTACATTCGATTTTGGTTGGATGGAAAGGGTTTCTTCAGACACCATCCTGAAGAGCGAAAGCCCCTTTTCATCATGTCTTGTGCACAGCAGGCACTAAGGAAGTGGCAGATGCCTTTAACTTTTGCTAGAGTCGTAGGGTTTTGTTTTAGTGATGTTAGGTAGCTTATGCCACTAATTAAAGGAGATTTTTTTCTTCTCTCAGTCACATAGTGTAATTCACCTACAGAATCTCGACAAGTCTTGGAAGCAGATTTCTGATTTAAGAAAAAAGAAAAAAACATGAGGCTGGGTGTGGTCACTCACACCTATAATCCCAGCACTTTGGGAGCTGAGGCGGGTGGATCACTTGAGGTCAGGAGTTCGAGACCAGCCTGGCCAATATGGTGAAACCCCATCTCTACTAAAAATACAAA